GTATATAATTCATCTTGTAAAATTATTTAAATATTTTTAAATTTATTTTTATATTATTTTTTAAAAAATATTTAATTAATTTTATAAACAATTATATACATCCATCCTATAAAACAATTTTCTGTTATTATTATTTTGGTAATAATTGACATCTAGTTTTTCCTTTCTCTTTAAAAGGGAGAGAAACGGCAGAACCAGTGGGGCAGTAGACAAGAGAAAAAGGGGGATTTCTCTTCTTTTCTCTCCTCGGGTATCCGCAGCCGTCCACCTCGCCGCTTCCCTACATCCCCGAGTTTTTCCATCATCATCACCGCCATCATCATCGTCATCACCATCACCATCCAGACTTTTTTTTTTTTCCTTTTTATGCTCTAATCACGATCACCATAGCCATCATCATCATTGTCTCCATCTCGTTTTCTTCCTCTTGGCACCCTCAGCAGTAACTTCGTCATCCACATCGTTCCACTGCCGGAGATCTATCTTCTTCACCTCGCAGTGGCCGCGGATTATCTTCCACGTCTTACACCAGCGGGGCAGCCTCTGGGTCTCTCCTTTTTTCTCTCAATCGCCGGCCTTTTCAGTTTTCCATCAACTCTGCTGCACCGTGTCTTGTTGGTACAGATCTGAGACAGAGGAGTTTTTGGGGCAGCGGTAAGGGAATGATCTAGGCGTGATCCCGTGGGTGGAATTCCTCGTATCGGACTCCGATTCGCTACCCAGAAACTCTGCCATTTTCTTGATATCTACTGGAATTGTTGCTATTGTTGATATTGTTAATTTAAAATTGCCAAAAAGTCGTTAGCTTTCAAGTTAACTGCCCAGATATCTCGGAGATGGCTGAGAGGTAAGTCCGCCGCTAGCTTATTCTTAATTATATAGTTAAAAGAGTTTCAATTGCTATGATATATCACAGGCATATCAGATTTTAACTTAACTAAATGTGTATTTTTGTCATTGGATATGTATAAGCAAGCTATAGTCCGTCTTTGAATAGTTGAGAGAAATTTTTTTGGTTACAGAATTTGAAGCTGTGGGTCAAATGCAATCTTCTGAAAAAGACCCTTTTTTTTTAATTTAATTTCAAATTTTTATATAAGAATTAATGATCTACCACTTTCTACGGATCCAACAAATTTTTTTGTCAATTTCTCTCATACATAATTTGCTTTTGTTTGGATCTGGTTTCATAAGGAAAAAATTTGCTTTTGTTTCTTGAAAAAGGATAATTATATATAGGATTCATATTTTACCCTGTAGATTGCATGTTAAAAATGTAATTTGATCAATAAAAATATTAGAGTACTTTTAATAAAATAATATATTAAATAATTTATTTAAGGGTGTTCTAGAAGTTTATATATTAAACCACACTTTAACGTGTAATTTATATTGTAAAATATTTGTGTCTATATTTATATATATGTTTGAAAAGGGTATCCTTATAATTTTTTAGTGCAATTTATTTATTTATTTATTTTATTTATAAACAGCAGGAAGTCAAGCTCAGTTATGAGTTCATTTCCAAAATTGTTGATGGAAGCGTGGCAGGAATGGGATGTGAGGGGATTGGTTCTTTTTAGTCTCACCTTACAAATCGTCCTCTCTAGCTTAGGTAGGCGTAGGAAATACAAAATTAATGCTTTCCTCAAAACCATTCTATGGTTTGCCTACTTAGGTGCTGACTGGATTGCCATTGCTACTTTGGGCAAGCTTTCCGGTTCCTATACAGAATCTCCCGCC